TCCGCTCATGATCTTGCCAGATTCGGAACGATAGGAGAAAGGGAGTTCTAACAATATGTTGGATCCCCAAGCATCGAGAATAAATCCACGTTTTCAAAGAAAAGTAAAGTTTATTTCAAAGCGTTGAAGACATACTCAAACACGTTCTTTGTTAGAACTGGGGATGCACAGGTATGGCAAGCATAATAAAGGAAATTCAAACGGACACAGATCCAATGAACAACATTCCCGCTGGCGGGCTAAAGAAACAGTTGCGCGCCCAAACCATGAGAACCAGGCAGCACAGCAGACAAAACACAGGTGCAGTTTCTAAGCGATAATCAGTGGCAAGCATTACAGCATCCTCTCCTCCACTCCTCCAGTAGTTATCTTAGGCATTCCAGCAAAGAAGCAGAATAACAAGCCGGGTACAGCAGGGGAAGGTCATGTACACAGAGGTCATAGAAAACACAATGGCAGCATGCTGACAGGCTGTGATGCCTGAATTTGTCCACAACATCAGAATTGAGCCTATCACAGGCAAGGCAGCAAGGCCTTAAACTGCTTGGCAAAATAAAACATATTCACTTTTATTAAATGTTCTCGACCCAGGTGGCTACCGTAGGTAGCCCTTTGCTACAGTTCTATGGTGCCTTGAAATTAATAGATTTACTTGCTAGTAAAAGACTCAAAATTGGTTGATGCCTATCAAGTGTGAGTCCCCTGAAGCACCCAGCCTCAGCACTGACTGAGCTTCTATAGTGTTAAAGATTTTTCTTTAATTGCTCCTGATAAAGGTAGTAACAAGAGAGTGCAGGCATGCCCTCCGGAGACGAACATCACTTGGCATAGTGAATAGCTCACACGGGACAGCGATTAGGACCATAAGGTGTTGGCAGAAAAGGGAGACAGAAGCAGTGACGCTGAATAGAAGAAGAAGAAGAAGAAGAGATTGGATTTATACCCCGCCCTTCACTTGGAGTCTCAGAGCGGCTTACAAACCCCTCTCCCTTCCCCTCCCCACAACAGACACTCTGTGAGGTGGGTGGGGCTGAGAGAACTCTTGACAGAAACTGCTCTTTCAGGAACAGCTGTGCCAGAGCTTGTGACTGACCCAAGGTCACACCAGCAGGTGCAAGTGGAGGAGTGGGGAATCAAAACCGGTTCTCCCAGATTAGAGTCCGCGCACTTAACCACTACACCAAACTGGCTCTCAATAGGCAAGCAGCCCAGGAGCAAAGAGACTGAACTGGGCAGAAAACAGAATGGGTAAGGAAAGTAATAGGTACAAACACAAATAGCTTCAGGGGGTCCAAGAGAAAACGTTGGAACAGGCAGTTGAGGAAAAAAAGAGGAACAAGAGAAAGTGGGGCTGGTAAGAGGCAAATAGAAGGACCGAAGGAAAACTGGGCGGGGTGTGGATTGGCAAGGGAGGTCTGGAACGGTTGGGCAAGGGAGCACCAGGGAGCCAGTAGACATTCTGTGCGGGGGGAGGGGGTGGGGATAAATCTTAACTTGCTCTGAACACCAGCCGAGCATGGTGCAGGGGAGCAGGGCTGAGGTTGTAGGAAAAAAATACCTGCTCAGTCCATTAAACTCACCGGTTCACTTTGAAACAGTCAAATTCTACCCTATAGCATTGTTGGGAGGAGAAAAGACTTGTAGGGCACTTCCTGCTGGATCAGACCAGTAGTCCATCTAGTCCGCCATTCTGCCTCACACAGTGGCCAACCGGTTCCTCTGGAGGGCCAACAAGGCACAGGGGCTGAGGACTTCCCCTGATGCTGCCTCCTGGCTCTGGGATTCAGAGGATTAGTGCCTCTGAATGTGGAGGTTCCCCTCAGCCACCCTGGCTAGTAGGCTCTGATAGACTTATCCAGGGCTCTTTTTGTAGAAAAAGCCCAGCAGGAGCTCATTAGCATAACAGGCCACACCCAACAGCAGAAATTCATTAGCATATTAGGCCACACCCCTGAC